TCCAATTGCTCCGACAGTACTTGGTGGCCAGACAGTCGGCAGGCAGCAGAAAGCATGCCCTGGGCCGTGAGGCAGGAAATTGACTCTGACTCAAACCTTGAGGTCTGGTAAGTTTTTTTACTTTGGAAAGTAAGGCAAATGATAACCAGGTCTTTCTTTTCTTCCTCAAAAGAGTCAGCAGCATCTGGGCTGATTTCAGTGAATGATCTAAAGATCAAAATTGGAAAGCTCCAGCAGATCTGGAAGGATGGAGGGGTTGGGGGAAGAAATAGGGGTTTGCGGGATAGACAAGGGCTAACCAAACTCCGATCCTAAGGGGAGCCACTGCAGCCAAGCAGATGTCCTGCGTATCGATCCCTACATCCTGTTATTGATTTCCTCTTGGGGCCAAGAATGGGGTGGACCTATGCAGGACAAGAGGGGAACTGACACCCTCCCAGAGGGCCAAGCAGCCCTAATCGGTGATAACGGTGTTAAGTGGTCAGCCTGGAGATGAGGTTTGCTTAGATCTATTGATCTGCACTCCCCTGGGATATAAATCCTTCTGAAATTGCTTCCATAGATATAAATATTTATAATTAAGATAGCCTAGGAGCTTCTTACAGGCACAGAAAGAGTGGCCCATCCCAGGATAAGGCTTGATACCAATCTCTTTCGTCTCCCAACTCGGTATAGTCTTCTGACTCTCTTGCATCTGTTTATACATCTCTGTTCTCTGTTTTGAACCCTATTTTGCTCACCCTCTGAGTGACAGTCACAATATCTCAGACTATCAGAAGCCGGAAAAAATCCATTCTTTCTGAATGCAGCCTCCAGCTGAGGAGGGAGTGCCGATCCCCCCGCACCCTCCAAGGCTACACAGCTTCATGTGCATTCAGGAGCCTGGACTTAGAAAGGAATGGGCTATTTGAGGGGCAATGAGGGAAGACTTTTTTAGTTGTTGCTTTGTTTTTGCTTTGACTGGGTCATCCGTTTGGATCCAGTAGCAAACAGGCTCTGTAGCACAAACATGTTAGCCGTGCTAAGATCCTGTGTTGGCTCACTTGCAGTATTACATCTGGGAGTACAACTTTAAGGGACCCACACTCTTGTTTCTTAGCACCTCATAAGTCTAAGCTCACTTGAAGTGAACAGAGCATCCCTTCTTCAAGAGAATGGAAAAAGAAAGGATGCTGAAGAACTGTTGAGGGCAGAGCCCTTGAAGCCAGCTGGCAGGACTGAGACCACTGATCAATGCTTTGCCCACTGAAAGGACAACCTTATAAAGAATTGGAACCATTAAGCTTTAATTTTTAGAAATTTGAGTGCTAGGGAGAATGGTCTTTAGGGACCACTGTAGTCCCTAAACCCATCATCTGCTCTGGTCCTAGGATACAAATCTGTTCACCCTGGATCCTTCATCTACTTGGATGTCCAGGATACAATTTTTTCGGTTTGGGAACTTCTGATTATTTTTCTCAGGTGTTTGCCTTGCTTCAATGCTTATATCTTGAACAGTATGTCTTTTTGTGTCTGCCTTCAGCAGGCTTCATTAATTTGTAATTAATGCCTAAAAAATTATAAGCACTTCTGGGTCTTACATGGGTCAAGGGTGTGCGTTACTGGGTATGTGTGCAATGTACAGACTGTGGTGGAGAATCCACTGGGTTTTGCTTCGCCTGATTTTAAAATGTTTAGTCATTCTGATCCATACATGTGAGTTAATAAATATATGTCTGTGTATCTTGATGTAAGCGTCTGTACTCGGGAATCAACGAACACAAGCAGTTTAGAATAGTGTTCCACATTTCTCTGCCATTTGCATTAACCATGTCTTTCCCAAATGCATATTAAGCTTCACTTTTTTTTTAATTCAGAGGTGGTAGTTTCAATCTCAAATCTAGCTCATTTGTCTCTTTTAGAGGATTAGGGACTATTCTAATGGGTAGTCAAGGATCAGTATTTTGAACTTCATTTGGCTTCGATAATTTCTATAGAATAAAAGCCTAACAAGTATAATCACAATAGCCCTGGCTTAAAAGATTTTCCAAGCATACTTAAAGTTGAAAAATACTTCAAACTAAAAATGGAAGAATGTTCTGGTTAGTAACTTGTATGCTTCTGTAATAATGGAGAGAATTGGATTGCAGTTCTCTTTGTTTGATTTATATGATGATACCAAGAATGTGAAAGGTGTATTTTATTGTAGAAATAAACTTTCAACATTGACCTAGAGGATGGAAGACTCAGGTTGGCATTTAAATCCTGCTCTGCTAGCTTATAATGAAAAGCATCTTACTAAGAATATATATATATATGTGTGTATATATATATATGTGTGTGTGTATATATATATATATATGTGTGTGTGTATATATATATATGTATATATATGGAAGAAAAATCCTAAGATCCATGCTTTTCACCCATTGTTTGCAATATTTGCCAACATTTGCTTGCATGGTTTCTGTGAAGAACAAGCTTATTTTGAGAAAGTGATCTAAATTTTGGAATTGAATGTACTCCACTAATTAAATGTGTATGTCCTTGTGATCTTAGTGCCGCTAATTCTAAATACCACATACATAAATTCATTGCTGTCTTATGCTGCAGGTCATATTTGAAAGCTTGTTGCCAGCCATAAGAAAATGATTTTATTATGGAATTATCTAATGACTTAAGATAACACATTTCATTGTCTACAGTCTTGTAAGAATTTAACTCTTATGCTATATTTGTATTTTATATTTTATATATATACAGATTTTCAAAATTCTAGCTGTCTAAAAGGTTTCCTCTTCAATATACTTTATAATGCAAGGATAGAAAATTTCACTTTATCCCTATATTCAAAACATAAAATGTTATAATGTTGATATTTCACTTGTATTTCCATATAAATAATATCTGTATTATGTTTCAAACCTTTGTAAGCATCTTGACGTACTCATTTGATCTTTAGAGAAAATTTACAAGATAAGTTACAGCAGGAGTCATTATCTTCATTTTACCAGTAATAAAACATGCACAAGGCAACACAGATATTAGTGTCAGACTTGAAGCTGTGGCCTGCAGCTATCGACTCCTGGTCAAGTGCTCTTTCCACAGCTACTGCTGCTTCTGTTAATGTTTGATAACTTTTTAGCATACTCTATATTTCCAGTACCTATTATAACCATTACAATGCATGTAAAGCAAATGTTAGTTGCTCTTAGATGATCCTTAGCATTCTAACCACACAAGAAAAGGTAGCAAATAAGTATTTCAGGTATCTTTCTTGGGCTTTTATCACAGCACAACCTGCTGCATGCACAGTCTGATGTTATGACAGACCTTTACTGTCAGCTTCAGAAATTCTGGCTGAGCTATGAATATGCTTAATGAGTTTGCTCCCCAGAAACATGTTCCTATGAAAACATGGTGAGTATGTATTACTCACTATGTTTCACAAAACAGTTATATTATGTATGTATTTTGTCTTCATACCTACCAACATTTGCCTTAAAGAAACATTATGTATAATTTGAAACATCCAGATGAAGCTTTTCCTCTTCCTGGAATAACTAGAACTCCTTCTCCAACCTCCTCCCCATTCAGGGGTTCTTGGCTTTTACTGTGCCATGGACCCCACTGCCAATCTGCTACAGACCTAAAGACTATGGACCTTTCTTAGTAGAATGCTTTTAAATATATAAAGTAAAGAATAAAGCATATAGAATTACAAAGAAAATCAATTTATATTGAAATTCAACTATCAAAATATTAAAACCAATTAAATATTAAAACCAATATTTGGTATGATGATATGTATAGTTTCTATTAATATATTAATAAAGCCCAGTCGTGGATCTACTACTGTAATTTTAAGGCAGCGATGAGCATAAGGGATATTTTGAAATAGCTACCATATCTGTTATGGATGTGATATGAAAATAGCAATGATTTCTATTGGTGACATTGTTACCAGTATGTTAATATTACTGTGGTTTGTTTTCTACATATTTTTTTTGCTTTTACATCCATTATATTTGATTTGATCTTACAACAACCTTGTGAGGTAGGCAAGATGTGAAGTCGATATTTTATACACAAAGCAGCTGAAGCATAGCAGGAGTTTAACTGATGGGATCCATTTTCTCTTCCTTCAAGCATTTTTGTGTATACGGTCTTCGTCCAAATCCTTGACAGAAATGTTGAAGAGGACCTCTAGAGACTAGGCAGATCCTGAATTCTTAAATAGCATTGACTGTTACAGCAGTTTAAGCAAGTCAGTTGCACCTAAAAGTGTGATTATCCAACCCACATGTTGCCATTCTGTTCAAAAAGGATGGTACAAAAGACAGTCACAATTACCTGGCTTACTGATGTAAATATTAATACTAATCTGATGAGTTAAAAGCACATGAGAGTTGGCTGCCACAAAAAAAAAGTTTGACCTGTGTCTACCAAGAAACTGTCATACCAACTAAAGAAGCCAAGTCTCTCTCTCTCTTCCAAAACCCTCATGGGGCCATGTTTTATTATAATGGTTTGTCACAGGTCCTAACCCCCACTGTATTTGATTATATACATGTCTCATAATTAAGTCATTCCCCTTTATCACACCCAGCACTTAGTCCACTGCTGCCCATGTAGGAGGCACTCAAATTGGTAAAAGAGAAATCTATTCAAGCGAATGTTCTTCCTATAGTATCTGGCCCCATTCTGAAAACAAACTTGTGACTAGAAGAGGCACTGGCCATTGCCACATTCCTACTAACACAACTGATTTAAATGCTCTTATAATTGACTTGGTCATAGTTTCCAACAGGCGCCAAGGCTTTTGCTAGTTAAACCAGTTTTCATTGGATCATTTTGTTTTCTATGGGCATTTTGACCAAACATAGGTTCTCTAACAACAGGAAGAGAATACATGAAATTTGAATACATCTATACAAAGATGGTCTATCAGTAAGGAAAATAAGTGATCAACAAAACAAAACATGAAGACTGTAGGTATGCCCAAAGAAAGGAAAAAGGACTAACAAACAAGAATGTAGTGCTTTACCATGTACAAATCTTTCACATACATTCTCATTTGACCCTCATAACAACCCTGTGAGGCAGCCATCATGGATATTCTTCTCATGAAACAGATGAAGACAGTAAATCTCAGAGCAGCTCACTGATATGCCCAAGGTTCTCCAATTAGTGAGTAATTTGTATTAACATCAATCTTTGACCTAAAAATACAGCACCCAACTTCCCCTCATACTTGCCCCACCTACTTCACAGGGATAATGAAGATAAAATGAATTCAAGGCTAGAAAAATACTTTGATGGAAAAAAGAACTATATAATTATACCTACAAACTATAATTTTCCACAATATATGGCTCATTCCTCTTCGCATCCCAGCTTGTGTGTGAACCCAGAATGGTATATTGCCTCTGTTCTGTGCTCAATAGGCAAATAAGGCAGGCAGGGGGTACAGTGTGATCCTGTTTAAAGTTTAAAAAAATTACAATCAGGGTAACTGCTATTATCAGGCAAATTGAAAAACAGCACAGAAAGGCCAATGTGCAACTAGGACCCACTAAAGCTCAGAGCAAAGCAATGCAAGATTATCAGACAAGGCATGATTGCATAGAAGGAAAATATGGTATCAGAGTTCAAACTGGCACACACAGAGTTATCTAAGGCAAAATGGTGGCAAAGAGGAGTTATTTGTTTCATGTTACACAAACAGGAGCAGAAGATTCATGGGAATCCGTACAAAAGCATCTTCTGTCACACAGATCTCTCCATCTGCCTATAGGAAATATACACAACAGTGTCACCTTCAAAGAATGACTGTACCTGTGTTCATATCCTGAACTACACCAAGGACTAGCTCCATGCTAAACTGCCTCGGTTAAAATACAACCAGTGCCATCATTCCTGATCAGACTAATAAACAGAATGTCTTTTAAGGTAATGAGTTAGATAGCTGTGCTTAGGATTGTTTCAGGATTTACTTTGGATTCCCCTGTTTTAAGACCCAAAGAAAGTTATATTGAGTTTTTATTGATGATTCTATACGTTTATAATAGAATGTGATAGGTGAATTAAACATATTAAAAGAGTTCTATAGCATCTGTTCAGGAAAGATTATATACTATACAAAGTATTCAAGTCATACAAAACCATTTTTTTGGTCTTTTCAACTGAGAAGAATCCTATTCAGCATGCTTCTCCTCCTGAGGTGGTTCATACTGAGAAAGCTTTGCTTTCAGTTTTTTATTTTCTTCTGCAATAGCTTCATATTTCTGTTTCATTTTGAGTGGTTCTAGGCGAAGCAGCTCTATTTCTGGATTTTCTGGGGTAGCAGCCCCTAAGTGATGCTTTAAAAAATCCAAAGCACTGTTCGGTTTCTTTGGTTCTTCATATAAGGCTATCAACACCTTGGTCAGCGTGTCTAGCACCCCTGACTTCTCCGAGTACCTCCAGAACTGCTCATGTTTTGAGTTAGCGGCTTTGTAATCGGCCTCAGTGACAGCGGCGACAGCGTAGCTGAAAAAAGAATCCACCTTTAGTTTCATTAATATTGAACTACAGTTTAGCATTTACAGTTTAGCATTTCCTTCTATTATAAATGCTAAACTGTAGTTCATAATTACATACACAATGTGTATGTTCTCCCTAGAACTCAATGTATTTGAAAATGATTGTTAATATTACCTTAAAAAATAGAACACTAGCAATAAAAACCTCCTAAGTTCTCAGCACAGATGCTTTATGTAGAATAAGCATTGATGCTTATATGCAGCAAGGTATATTTTCAAATATAACTCAACTTCTTCATATTATTGTCACATGAACATGGGGACTTATTCATGCAAATTCACTTAATTTTGTATGCATCTTTCATTCCCAGTAATAAATACTTGCCATTCCTACCCAAATGAATGGACATTCACATATCAATGTGAGGCTGAATATTTATTGGGTACAAGTTGATTTTTGATCTACAGTGAACTTGTTTATTACAGAAGAAAGAAGGTAGAGATCCAAATGGAGATAAAATTGGAAAAAATGTATAGCCATTTTTATTGTCAAATAGCTGTCTTCTATTCAATGCTCTAATGTATGAGCACAGGTTGAACTAAGTCTTTGATTAGCATTTCAATGGCATTCAATAAACCCCTACAGACTATCCTCTTGAAATATACTAGTCACCCTCAGAAATTCAAGTTACTAAATTGAATCTGATTTAATATGTGAAGTTCTAAGATCTTGACTTGAACAAAGTTTATTTCACCCCATCATTTAATAAGGCATTGACCCATTCTCACTGCATGTATTCTGTAAGTGATATCTTATCAGGGTCCTTGGCAAGTATCCAGGGAGCAAATGCTAAAATATCCTTCTGGGCCTTGGTTCAGCACTTACCACCCTTTACCTACTGGGCAGCAAGTTGAAAAACAGTATTCTGAGTCCTCCTTCCTACTAACTTTCCTAAATGGAGTGTTGGTGGAACACAGAAGAAAAGCTGGACAATGATTACAATGACAGATGAGGAGAGGTCACCTTGCATTGGAACTGTGAGTCAAGGAATTAGTCTATATTTGAGCCTCTACATCTTTTGAAAGAAAGCCCCACAGCACCTTAAGTGATATTCCTGTAGTTAGGTTTCTAAAGATCCACAATTTATTGCATGCTCTGTTACCTCTTACATACCTGCATCTCTGATTTTATCATTCTTCTCCTATGTTATATTATTCCTTTCATTCCTGCTCTCCCTCCTCTTTTGAAAGCATCTTATATTTTGAATTAGCTATTACCCTAAATTTACTGATTTGGTATATAACATTTGAGCTCTTCAGAAAAAGAATCTACCCAAAACTAAAAGTATTTAGAAATGTGCTTAGAGGGCAGGCCAATTCATCTAATACATATAGAGAAATATCTGCTAAGGATTTTTTGCAAATAAATAGTCATTCATAGTGGATTTGATGTTAATATTATAGCAACAATTTCATACTTATTATCACCCTTAATTTACATAATATACTACACATCTTTTCCAGGCAGAAGGGGAAATAAGGCTCTGGAAAAACAGTTCAAACAAACAGAACAGGAAAGATAGCTTAAATACTATATCATAGTTCACAACAAAACTTATTTTAAAAGAAAATAATGCCTGGGAAAATGTTTTCAGAATCATTGCTTGAAGTAAAGAGATTGTATTAAAGCAATTTGCTTGAAAATTTAACAGTCAGTAGACATTTTCAATAACCCACATTTTAAAGATTACTTGAAAACCTTGAATATTTTCTAAACAGAAAGAAAGGTGTTACCAGTAATTATCATCTATTAAAATATAACCCCTGTGTCTAATAGTATAATGAATCAGATGTAAAGAGGGAAAAACTGAAAGAATGGAGAGGATAATGGAGCCAAGAGCAGGAGGCAGCTTTGCGGATGGATAAAGGACAAATCATTCCAGACAAATGTGATCACTCTTTTAAATCGCATTACGAGATTAATGGATGAAGGGAATGCACTAGAGGTAATATATATGGATTTTACTAAAGCATTTGATACACTACTCCATGAATTTCCACTTGCAAAATTAATTCAAATTGGGTAGAATATGTGCATGGTCACATAGATTGAAAATTGGCTGAAGGACCATAAACAAAGAGCAGTGACAAATGTCGGTCCCTCACATTTAGATAAGAGACAGTGTCCACTGCATTCATAAGGACTCGTGCCCACTTTGGCTTCACATAACCACTTCACTAATGATCTGGGGGAAGGAAAATGAAAGTACAGAATTCACAAATCTTGACATGGGAAGTGTCACAAACCAAGGCACAGTTAGAGCACAAAAAAAACCCAACGCACGGTTAGAGCACAAAATAACCAAGGCACACTTAGAGCACAAAAAAGTTAATAAAAGTAGAGAATAAAATTAAATATAAGCAATACTTCACCTCTTTAGATGACTAAAAGAAGAACAAATAATTACTAGAAAAAGAGTTATATACAATTTTCATTTTAATAATTAAAACACTGATTGGGGAAAGTGCTCTTAAAATCATGCTGTCAGCTAGGCACAGTGGCTCATGCCTGTAATCCCAGCACTTTGGAAGTCCAAGGTGGGAGGATCACTTGAGCCCAGGAGTTCAAGACCAGCCTGGGCAATATGGCAAATCTCTGTCTCTACAAAAATACAGAAATTAGATGGGAGTGCTGATGTGCACCTATCGCCTAGCCACTTGGGGAGGCTGAGGCAGGAGTATGGCTTGAGCCTAGGAGGCAGAAGTTGCAGCAATCCAAGATCATAACATTGCACTCCAGCTTGGGTGACAGAGTGAGACTCTGTCTCAAAACAACAACAACTACTACTCATGCTGTCATTAAATAGGTTTGTTCTTCATTTAGTTAGAATCTGAGGCCAGACACAGCAGCTCATGCCTGTAATCCCAGCACTTTGGGAAGCCAAGGTGAGAGGATTGCTTTAACCCAGGAGTATGAGACCAGCCTGGGCAACATAGGAAGACCCCTCATCTCTACAAAAAAAAAATTTAATTAAAAAAAAGAAGCCTGGCATGGTGGCTCACACCTGTAATCCCAGCATTTTGGGAGGCCAAGGCAGGTGGATCACCTGAGGTCAGGAGTTCGAAGCCAGCCTGACCAACATGGTGAAACCCTGTCTCTACTAGAAATACAGAAATAAGCTAGATATGGTGGTGGGTGCCTGTAATCCCAGCTGCTTGGGAGGCTGTGCTCCTGTGTTGCTCCAAAATTTTAATCCATCCAAAGAAACTCATAGAAATGCTGAAGGAGCAAAGATAATTGATTTATAAAGAAAGAATTTAATGTCTACTTACGTGAGTAACTATTGGAGTATTAGTAATTCCCCTAAATATGTGATGAAGGCAGGGCAAATAATCATCTTAAGTGAATCTTGGCTTATTATAGGAATCTTTCTGATACAATGTCTCCAAATACCATTTTGATAACTGCCAGGTCAACCTTAATATTGTTTCTGATTTTTTTGTTAGAATTATTGAAATCATGAAAAATTTAATTGTTTAGAAGCAATATGAACCCTTAAAAAGTGTATGGGTAAAATATGCTTTTCCTTTTACAAAGAGCAGGATCTTATTTATAATCAAAGCCATTTCACATTCACCATCTCATCCATTCCTCATGGCCACCTTGTGAGGGAGATATCATCATCCCTGAATTATGGATGTGGAAACTGAGGCTCAGACGGGACAAATACTTACCCAAGACTATACCTTTAGTAATTTCAGAGTTGTTACTAAGCTCAGATTTTATGGACACCTAGTGTTGGAGTCTTTCCACTAAGCAACACTATTTCTTATGTGTATGCCATGAAAGAGGCTGTCTCAGAAGCCATGTACCAGGGTCTGGCCTTGACTTTAACTGTTCATTTTGTGCTGAATTAGATAATGTAATGGAAAAGACCTAGCATAGAATCTGGGACAGAGAAGGCACTTAATAATGTTTAGTTCTTTTACTTTTACCCTATTTACAATTTCTTCATTCAACAGTTATTAAGCACCTAAGAGGTGCTGGACACTGCCCAGCAAGTAGATTATCTTAGCTTTAGCTTTTTTTTTTTTTTTTTTTTTTTTTTTAGACATAGTCTTGCTCTGTCACCAGGCTGGAGTGCAGTGGCATGATCTCAGCTCGCTGCAATCTCCATCTGCTGGTTCAAGTGATTCCCCTACCTCAGCCTCCTAAGTTGCTGGGACTACAGGCAGCACCACCATGCCCAGCTAATTTTTTGTAATTTGGTACAGACAGGGTTTCACCATGGCCAGGATGGTCTCGATCTCCTGACCATGTGATCCACCCGCCTTGGCCTCCCAAGGTTCTGGGATTACAGGTGTGAGCCACCACGCCCAGCCCATCTTAGCTCTTTTTAAGCTCAGGTCTCCCAAGTGAGACCTGAGGCTCCATGAGAGAAGATCTCTGTGTCTGCCTGTTCACAGCAGTCTCCTCGACACCTAGCACATACTCAATGGAGACTTCCTGAGTTACAGAGAAAGCATCTCACCTCATCCCTCCAAAGTTCTAGTGAGCTTTGGCCAGGCTAAAGCCTCATGTGCTCACTTCACATGTCATCAGATAAATGACCAGCGCAACTCCCTGCACCCACTAAAAAATGAAAGAAAGTCCTGGATGGGGTCATTAGGAAGTTAGATGGCTTCACTTGTCAAGATTTTTGTTTGTTTTGTTTTGTTTTTACTTCTCTTTTACCAAAGCATCCCTGGGGCCTGATAACAAGTTAAGCACCATGCTAAAGCATTTGACTGCTTTGCTTAAGGTAGACGACAGATCTTCTGCTTCCCCTATGCCTATTCCCAAATCTCTCCACAGAGAATTCCGTAGAGGAGCAGTGAGCGCATGACTGCAGCTTTTGAACAGACTTGCGTGAAAATTTGGAAGGAGACTAGAGTAGGGAAGGCCCAGATTATGGAAAAGCTTGGAGCTTCTTTAGTGACTAGGCCAAGTCAAAAGACAGGTCATGGGGCATGTAGCTCAGGTAGTGATGTGCAGCATAGAGATCCCCCATTGCCAGAGAAAAGACCTGCCCGTAACACAAAAACAAATGTGTGTATTCTGCTGGGAATATTTTACACAATAGATATTTCCACCCACAATTGAATTAGTTGTGTTATTTTCAAAAAATATTTTTGTCATTTCCAACCCTCTTCTTCTGCATTAGTCTTATTGCAGTTGGGTGAGTGCACCTGAAGCCTTCAGTGAAGTGTCAGGTATAATTTAGCACTGGGAGATGAATTATGGGATTGCCCTTTAGGAAAAGGCTGGGAGCTCAGCCCTGCCTGTCAAATAGGTCCCTGCCTTATAGCGAACTCTGCAGGTGAATGAATCAGTATTTGGCATATCAGCATTTCATTGAGCCTCCATGCTAATGTCTTTTTGAAATGAAACCGAGAAAGCTGTTAACCTCAGTTAGCCGGGTGTCCCTTCTGTGACCGGGATAAATCATCAATGTAGAGGCTGAGAACTCTGTTCTTACTGCTTTGGGGAATGAGAGCTGGGGCTGTGGGGAAGCTGATGGAAAGGGCCTCCAACTCTCAGAAAACTAAATCAGGATTTTTATCTCCCTTAAAAGGAGAAATAAACATTACTTCTTGCCTCCTAATTTGCAGGTGGGCTTTACTAAGATCAAGGGTTGACAAACTCTGGCACATGGACCAACTGCCTTTCTTTGTACATAAAGTTTTCCTGGAACTCAGCCACATCCACCATTTATATATTGTCTGGGGCTGCTTCCACACTACAATAGCAGAGTTGAGTGACTGTAACAGAGATTGGCCCGTGAAATCTAAAATATTAACTATCTGACCCCGTAGAGAAAAAATCTGCTCACCTCTATTAAGATTATCAACCTGAAGCAAAGATAAGAGATGAGAAATCCATATAAAAGCATAGACCACAATCAAGAGTTTATTATAAACTACATCTAGAGCCAGCAATTATAATATAATGTGACACATTTGTAATAAGTGTAAATTTGTCTTTTCAACCAGTTAGGATTCCATTCAGCTGCAAGGAATAGAAACAATACCAGGCTATCGCTGGTTGGGGGGATGGTGTGTACCTTAGTCCTATCTACTCAGGAGGCTGAGGCAGGAGGATCACTAGAAAGTCAAATGCTAATGGGCTGAATCAATGATTTAGTGCCTCTATCTTTCTACCTAGAAATCAGTACTTGACCGCCTAGTGATCTTCCCTCCTCATCCTCCCAAGTAGCTAGGACTCCAGGTACACACCACCACACCCAGCTATAGCCTAGCAAGGTAGGAGGATCACTAGGAAGTCAAGGTTATGATGAGCTATGATTGTGCCAGTCCACTCCAGCCGGGGTGACAGAGTGAGACCCAGTCTCTCAAAGAGAAAAAAAAAGTAAGCTAAACAAATAGGCTTTATTTCCCTCAAACAGGTCTAGATGGCATTGTTTCCATACTCAAAAATGTCATCAAAGAACCAGTTCTTTACTATCTATGATGTCAGAGCCAAAGATGCCGAGATTCTTGACTTTTTCTTCATATTACAAGATGAGTGCTATGGCATCAGCCATGATGTGTGTGCCCAAAGAAAGAAAAAAGGTGAAAAAGGTAGAAAAATCATGCCCTCTGTGCCTGTATCTTTCTACGTGGAAATGAGCAGCTTCCCCAGAAGTCCCATCCCACCCCTCCAGCAGACATCTGCTCATATCTCACAGCCAGATGAATCCCAAAGCCACCCTCATGTCCCATGCAGCTGGGAAGGCAAGTATTTACCACTCCAGCCTCTATGTGGGAAAGCTACAAAAGTCAAGGGGTTAGGAATGGCTTTGGGGTAACCAATCAGTAGTGTCTTCCAGAGATAGTTTTTCTCATTTTAGGTATGTAGGCACAGAGGGCAAAATCAATGAATATTTATAAAGTGGCCAAATGTACAGGTGGTTTAGTTGATTATTTATTTTATTCCATATCAAAGAAGTTATGTCCAGACAGGAACTGCAAAGCCTTATCTAAAAATACTTCCAAAGATCTTTCAAGAGAATGCAGTTGAAAAGAGTTGGGCCAGGGCAGGTGGATGCTCTAGGTGTATGGCACAGCTAGGATGCCCTCAAACACAGAAGATGCCTATCCTGTGTGTTCACCAGATGGTTCTTACTGGGTTGGCATATGATGGATTTATGGCTTATTTTAGGGACAGCCTTTATCTTGGAATTTAGATTGAGGCTAAAAGTGTTCGCACCATTTCCTTTAGTAATGTGAACCTACCCACTTGATGTTAACTATTAAACTAGTCCCTTTAAATAAACCAATAAAATAATAAGATAAGTTCATAATCTGTAGGTTGACTTAGTCTCATCTACCTATGAAATTATAAAATAATTTCTCCTTTTTCTGTTTTTTTAGTCTTACTACTTACAAAGCTATTGTATTTGTATTATTCAATTCATCTTTATACTGGAGAACTTCAAGAGTTGAAGATTTGTGAGTTTGAAACTTGCTACGTCAGTACTCTTAGAGGGTTAATGCCATTGCGATAGCCATGTCACTTCATCTCTTTATCTGTAAACTTTCTGCATGTGGCTGGATCTCATCTCCTAGTCAGACAGCCAGAGGACAGAAAGCAATCATAGCTTGACAGGGATTTTGTTTTAGCAGAAGTTAGTCTATAATTCTCTTGGGATAATAATTATTATTATTAATAATAAAAGGTTGCTTGTTCTTTTAGGTTTTCACAAAATTACAACAGAGGGAATTTAATGCAGGAAATTATAGGGAGAAGCTGAGAAGCCAATGGGAGTGGTGAGGTTAACAATAGCAGGAAGCCACTACCCTCCCTAGGCTGCAGAGACAAAGCAAGGAAGTGGCAGAGCCCAGAGGCGAGGGTCATCTCATAGAAACTGGAATCATGGAAGAAGGCCAGTGTGAGAGAGCTGGAGCTACAGAGGAGACACAGCTGGGGCTGGGGTCCTATCCCAAAACAGAGTGAGAGGCAGAGATGTACCTAGTTTCTCCCTCCCACACTCCATTCTCCCTTCAGCTCCTTCCATTGCCTGAACCTATCTGGAAGCCAATTGACTCGTGAGCCTAGAAATGCAGCCTTCAGAGGATCAGATCCCAGACACACAGAGCAGAACAAGGGAAAGTGGGGAATAGATTTGAATGCAAGCTGGCTTAGAAACAATACAGAAGCTCTATTCCTCTCCTTACCCCACTGTAGGTGAAAACATACACTTTGGCCTCTAGTAATTATTAAGTCGTGTCTCTCAGCCACATGTGGGTTTCTTTCTAGTGTTGGTTAGGATGGTTATATCAGCACATTAACAATCTTTATTGCATATCCAATGAATGATAAATATTACTAGACTCTTGTAGGACATAGAAAGAAATAGAAGACAACATCACTGACGATATGTCATTTACCCTTACACTTATAGTTAGTTAGAGGTTTTCTAAAACAGATAAATCCTGAAAGAAGAGGTAAGAAGTTTCCCATAAAGTAGATAGGAAGAGCGTTTTAGGTACAGGAAGTACCCTAAGAAAGTGAAACACTAAGTGAAACACATTTTGCATGGCACACAAATATCCTTAACAGGAATACCCAGTCTAGATGGGCTTGGGTGACAGAGAAGTCAGTGGAAAACTTTGGAGGTCCAACAGAGGACTTTAAATGTGATCAATAGGGAGGAAAGCAAATCTTCCATGCGAAAAATGGTATTGAGCTCTGCTTGGTGCCAGACAGAGCACTAAGGAGTTATTGGGATAGTCTAGTCAGAAGGTACCGAGCAAGTGTCTGAATGTGAGGAGGCATCACAATGTGGTGCTCCAGAACACAGGTTGTGAAGCAAATCTGTCTGGGGTCAAATCTCAGTTATACCACTTACTAGATCCTTCTCTGGAGGACAAAGATGATAATAATAAGCGCCACTGCTTGTAGGGTTCCAAGCATTAACTCCATACCTGAGACGTGATAAATGTTAGCCATTATTGAAATCATATTAGAGGACGAGCTTACCAAGGAAGGAAGAGAGAAAGAGTAAAATGCCCTTCAGGCAGCTCAGATGTATATTTGGAACCATTTGTGATATAAATTATAGTTGAAATCACTATGAATGCATAAACTCACTGCAAGACTGAATTCAGAGGAAGGAAAAACAGAGGATCCAGGGCAGACAGAGGAGACGATAGAAAAGCAGTGAAGGAAATAATAAGAGAATTCTGTGGACCAGCATATTAAAACCTCAGAGAATAATAAAGCCACACAAAACAGAGGTCACTTGGCAGGATATTGAAAAACCAGGATGAATGTCTTCTGTTCGGTTTGCTGAGTTGGTTTTCTGCTTACTCTGGCCTAAGCATTACCATCATTTTTGCACGTTACAGCATTTAAAATAGTATTATTAGAGTAAGAGCCAAATCACAATGTTGTATAAGTGCCCATCATCAGTAAGCATTAGTGATACATTTTTAAAATCATCCACAGGGAGTTGAGTGTACATCTTTAAATCTTCCAAGGGGGCTAATTTGGCAACAAGAGCACAACTTTTCTGGTAGGGAACCAGAGCCACGTCGCTAGTACCAATTTCCCTGCCTCCCACTGGAGCCTAAAAACAATAAGGAGAAAGAGTTCAGGAAATGAAGACATTACCAACAGCCACAAAACAGCCAGAATTGCTGCAAACGGTCTGGTGTTAGCCCAATACCAGCTTTGGCGGAGGCTGTACATCTGTATGACATGAAGTTATTATGCCTGAGCTTTGGTGTGAATAGTGGAGTGCTGACCTGAGAGTAGAGATAAGGAAAGGAGATGAGGAAGAGAGAGATGGGTAGACAGATTTGCTGTAGGGTTTTGTGCATTCCATTTCCATCACTGCTTAAAGAATGGGTGTGCAGAACTCATTTGGTGGCAGCTTAGAGAATGTGCCTTTCTGTGTTTCTCCTTTCATTAAAACCAGTAGGATTGAAGTGCTTAATAGTATGTAGGTTGGGGAAGGGGCTGTGATCTTACCAAGGGGATCAAAGAAGCTGGCTCTTCTGGGTCTTGAGGCTGTATATCATAGAAAGGCCGGGCCATTTCATTTATTTTTCTTAAATGCGTTATAGTTCTTCGTCTCTATACATCACGTGAGCCAACAATGAAGAGTTTGAAGAAGAGCCCCATGGCTGATCAGTTTCTCTTATAACTAAAGTAGCTATATAATTTCTCCTACAAACTTTTTACTATAAGAGTATACAATGAATACTTTTACTGGGATGACAGGCATAAACTGGACCATCTTAGAATATGTAATCATCAGCTGGGCCCGGTGGCTCACACTGTAATCCCAGCACTTTGGGAGGCCAAGGAGGGTGGATTACCTGAGATCAAGAGCTCGAGACCAGCCTGGCCAACATGGCAAAATCCCTTCTCTATTAAAAATACAAAAAATTAGCCAGGTGTGGTGGTGCATGCCTGTAATCCTAGCTACTCAGGAGGCTGAGGCAGGAGAATCACTTGAACCTGGGAAGTGGAGGCTGCAGTGAGCCCAGATCATGCCATTGCACTCCAGCCCAGGCAACTGAGCAAGACTCCATCTCAAATATATATATATTATAATACATATAATATATATGTATATTATATATAATATATACATATATATATGTAATCATCCTACTTATAACCCATTTTATAACCTTTTCAGTTCATATAGTATAGTGATTAAGAGAACAGACTCTTGGCTGGGCATGGTGGCAGCACGTTGGAAGGCCAAGGCGGACAGATCACGAGGACAAGAGATTGAGACAATCCTGGCCAATATGGTGAAACCCCATCTCTACTAAAAATACAAAAATTAACCAGGCTTGGTGGAGCACGCCTGTAATCTCAGCTACTCAGGAGGCTTAAACAGGAGAATCACTTGAACCCAGGAGGTGGAGGCTGCAGTGAGCCAGGATCGTGCCACTGTACTCCAGTCTGGGTGATAGAGTGAGACTCTGTCTCAAAGAAAAAAAAAAAAAAATAAGAGAACAGACTCAAGAGCCAGACTTACTAAAACCCCAGCTATGTTGCCAATTACCTATGTGACCTTGACAAGTCACTTAACTTCCCCTGGAGTCAGTGTCGTCACTGGCAAAATAGAGCATAGTATTTTTCCTACTTTTGTAGGTTAATATTGCTAATATGTGGACAGGCACTTACCCAGCAGTTCCTGGTAGATAATGCAAGCTGAGTGTGTACTGTTCCTGTTATTTCATACACTGAAGGGTAAGCAGCCTAATCTTACAGACCTGATGCCCAGCCTTCCTTTCCCATGACATGGCATGGAAGGGCATTCAGCAAATTATTTGTATGCTGAATGAATAAATTAAAAGAAGGAAGAAAGGAACATGATTTTTATCCTTTACCTACACTTTTTTCTTTATTCTTTCACTACTTTTAGGTTACTTTGAAGGGCAAGGAACAGACCCAAAAAGACTTTCAAATGCCTGTTCTAACCTAGCCTTTACTATGCCCTGAGGTCCCTTGTATTTTGAGCTTCCTCTGGAAGGAAGAAAGATAGATTTGGATTAAAGAGAAAATTAGGCCTATAACCAGCAGTAGACTCTCATCATCATCTGCTTTTCTACCTGCATGCCTCTCCCAAGCTGGTAGACCTTGTTGTAGAAAGTTACGTCTTGTCAATTAAAATTAAGTTTATCCATTAGCACTATTGCTACCACCTCAAGTAGGCCTGTTAGCAATCCTTATATTTAGTCTCAGTCATATTCCCCAAAGATATCATCTTTCCCATCCCATACACATCTCTCCCAAGTTGACCTGCTTTCTGCTTTACTGAGATGAGACTTTCTAACATGAACTTCAACTTCCCCCTTCCACATCCAAGTGATTTACAACCCCTCCTATTATTTCCTTGACTGTGCCAGAAAGGAAACTGCCCCATTTGCTTTCCAAAGCTAATTTGCTCCTTAGTTGAAATCTATCTCTGTTCCTTCCAGAGCTCTGTTCCATCAGTTATCCCATTCTGTTTTGTTTTTTAGAAATCTCCCAAATTTCTGGTTTCTTCTCTTTTACATGTTAGTATACTTGCATATTTTTCTACCATAAAACAACATGAACAACAAAAAGCTCATCTTTCTCCTTCTTTTCATTACCAAACCTGCCAAAAGAATAATCCATGCATATTAGCCTCTCTTACTCTTAATCATTTCTAAACCCTTTTAAAGTGACCTCTCATACCACTAATTTGAAATTATCCTCTCATAAATTACTATTGACATTCTAATCCCTATATCTGATGACTTCTCCTGAGTCCTTGTCCTCCCCAATCTCTTTGCAGCATTTTATGTCATTGATCACCCTCTCCTTCATAAAACACATCCTTGGCTTCCTTGACTTGGATTGATCTTGGCTACCGTCTTGCATCTCTAATTTGTGTTTGCCTCGTCCTTCTGTCACCCCCTAAATAGAGGAGCTCCCCCAGTGTTCAACTCTTCCATTTATGATCACTCAACTCTTGTGGTGATTGCAACCATTTCCAGGCCCTTGACCATGTCCTGGCCTCCAGATCTATATTTCTAACCCAACAAATACTGTAGGTCCGCATTTCCAGCATTCTGCTGGACATAAACATTTACTAAAAACTAGACTTTTTTCCTCAACATATTCTCCCAAACCAATTCTACCCCCTGGGTTTCCTGTTTCTGATAATGGCATCTCTATCCTCCCATCCCATCCCCCAGACTCGAAAGTAAAAATTATATTTGTGCCTTCTTCACCTAACCAGTCTCCAGGTTCTATCAACCCTTATCTCCACCCCTGTCAAATCTATCACTTTCTTTCTTTCCATGAGCACTGCCACTGCCCAGCATGCCACCTCTTGTCTCAAATATCACAGCAACCTGCTACCTGCTCCTACTTCTTCCTGTCTATTCTTCCAGCAATGTCCTGAATCTTCCATTACTCTCTCTCCTAATATTGCTTTATATGCTGCAGATAAAAGCCCCAAATGCCACCACCTGGGCCCTTTTTTTCCCAGACATAATCTCTATAATTGGTGTTTACACATACTGCTCTCCAGCCAATCCAAATTTCACCTTTCAGAATAAGTCCCATACTTCCTACCTCTAAGCCTCATCTTTTTTCCCCTTGCATTAGTTTCCTAAGGCTGCTGTAACAAAATGCCACAAATTGGATGGTTTAAAGCAACAGAAATGTAGCCTTGCCCAGTTCTGGAGGCTTGAAGTCCAAAATCAAGGTGTCAGCAGGGCCATCTTCTCTTTGAAGGCCCTAGGGTAAGAACCCTTTCTTGCCTCTTCTAACTTCTGGCATTGCTGCAGACCTAGACGCTCCTTGGCTTGTGAATGCATCATTCCAGTCTCTGCCTCCATCTTGTAATGGCCTTCTCTCCTGGATATCTGTGTCTAAATTTCCCTTTTCTTTTAAGGAAACCAGCTCTAATCCAGTATGACTTCATCTTAACTAGGTTACATATGCAAACCCAATTCCCAAATGATGTCACACTCTGTATGCACTGAATGTTTGTGTCCCCATCAAAATTTTTATGTTAAAATTCTAACCCCCAATGTGATGGTATAAGGAAGTGGAGCTTTGGGGAGGTAATTAGATCATGAGAGTAGAGTCCTCATGATGGAATTGGTGTCCTCATCAAAGACACCCCAGAGAGCTCCTTGACCTCTTTCCACTTGTGAGGATACGCCAAGATGGTAGTCAGCAACTCAGAAGAAGGCCCTCACCAGAACTCGACCATGCTGGTATCCTGATCTTGGACTTCCAGCCTCTAGAATTGTAAAAATAAATTTCTAATTTTTATGAGCCACTCCAGCCATGGTATTGTCTTATAAGTGCACTTATAGAGTGTGACTAAGACACACGGATTCTGGTAGAACTTCAGCATATCTTTCTGGGGGACACAGTTCAACCCGTAACACTTCTCCCTCTACCTAGAGATGGACTTCGTCCTCCACCCTGTTCCATAGGTCAAAATCCTTCCACTGTTCCAGAGTTTGGTTGATTTTCACCTCTGCCAAGAAGTTGCGTGTAATCCCCTGGTAACACAGTATTTTGCCCCTTTTATAGCATAGCTATTTCTATTTATCTTCTTTCTGCTGCTAAATTCAAAACCCCTCCAGACATAGGACACGTATATCACTTATCTTTGTATTCCCTCCCCAACTCCATGCGTAGCAGAGTGCCTTTTACTTGTGAACTTACCTGGTTAAATCAAATTAAAATAAGTTTCCTTTTATGTATGAAATTTTGACCATTCCTATATTTTTGTCACTTAAAGTAATTTTTCACTTTCATCATTAAATCTAAATGTTCTGTTGGCCAGGCCCAAATAATTTCAATCTGGACTTACTTTTCATTGAAATGTTTCAACATTAATAACATATCTCTTTCACCTTTTTTTGAAACTCTATAAATTGGTTTGTATAGGTCATTTTTCTATGTATCGATTTCTTCCTTGGATTATTTTGAAGTTAATATTGCAGGTGCCCTGAATTCTGTTGGAATCTAATCATCTAGCATTCAGAAGATATATCAAAGAGTGGTCCAGGGAGCCTGGCTTGGACCTTCAACTTCAGCCTTACAGGTACTTTCCTGAGATTAAATCAGCATGTCAAACACAGTTTCCTTCAGGTCTATGTAAACTCTTTATTGTAGGGTCATCATAATTAATATGATATTCCCAATCCTATATTAATTTATTTTTTATTCCTGCAGGTTTCAAATTGAAAATAAGATAGAATAACCAAATGCTATGCTAGCTCACAATACTACTGCTCAAGAGTAGGTAGCTATCCTAGTTTTTCATCTAGAGTTGCTGCATATGTATATTCCTCTGTGTGTGTGTGTGTGTGTGTGTGTGTGTGTGTGTGTGTGTGTGTGTTCGTGGAATGGCTGGAATCTGTTTAATCTCCTAAATAGATTGAGCACATACACAGCAAGAGCATTCAGACTACAGGCTTTTAGTCAAGGACATGATTCTCTTTTTAATTCATATTTGGGACTGACAGCAGAATTACTGAGGATCAGCAGTCATGGGGAGAAAAGGAAAAACAAGTGAAATGGTAGACTGAAATGGTGTTTAAGGGCCAGTTTCTCTGCATGTGCTCGCTCTACAGAAAGGGTCCTAGGGGCTGTGGGGAAATAGGCGGCCTCCGGGCTGTGAGCTAATGCGGCACCGCTGCTGTTTGCATAGCTGCACAGCCCTAGGAGAGACCTGGGAAAGCTAGCTTGAATTCCAATGAATATTTACAATTACACTGCTCCGGAGCGGAATGCAATCACAGTGCTCCAGTCTACAGGTTTTATGCATCAAAAGAAAATGAGAGGAGAGCAGCAAAAATGGAGTTGCCTTTGGAGAGACTTACAAACACAGATCTCACTGCTTGTGGCAGAACTAAAATGCTTTATTTCTGATAGGAGCAATTTATTCTTCAGGCACCTTCCTTGATAGTAGAAAGCACCTGACTGGGTTTTGAAGTGAGAAAGTCTTCAGTAGATGGTTTTTAATTCTGAGCAAGAGAAAGGCATGGAAGGAATTGTATTGCATAATTTTGATTTTGTTTTCTAACAGCAGACCCTAGAGAGGGGTGGGAAAATCGCCAAGCCTGTTCACAAACTCCCTCTTCTTTCAGTTTGTGTTTTCATTCTGTTCCCACAGATTATAATTGCCTCACTGGGTAGCCCTGGGAAATGCTGCCACCATTTTGTATCTCCAGCTTAAAGCCTTTGGGTAATCGATTACCAGTAAGGCCTGCCATCCCCTCGCTCATTTTTTTCTCATGAGCTGTTGATCCACACCAAATATCTGAAGAGAGCTAGATGGGAAAAATTAGTCAGAGCCACTTGGACCCAGTGAGGCAATTCTTAACTTTTAGAGGTGCCAGAGTAGATAAAATGGAATGTTTTAAAAAGACTGCACCAGAACCTGGTTTTGGACTCAGTTGACTAATCTCTCTGACTATTAAGATTTATATTGGATTACTATTTGCTAGCAGCCTGGGTTGCTGCACTGAGCAAAAGCCCTGTCAGCTACCCATCCGTACTTTTACCCATCATCAGTCCATTTTCTCCCATCAAGATGTCTACCTGATGCCACTATCTCCCATCCACCTCCCTGCCTGTTCACCTCTCCCACCACTAATCCATGCATCTTTTCACATATCTATACATCAACTTGCTTGTATACATCCAAGCTTGAAGCAGAGGCAGGCAGGAGTCAAGAACCTGTATTTGTGTGACTGGCCATTGGCAGATCTGAGAATGCATTTTTCCTTCTCTGATTTTATCTTCTCAGATTCTCAGTGGGTTATAGATGCAGCAGAAGTGTCAAACCAGGGGCTGGGAAAATGGGAGGCTTTAGGTCCCCATGACTTCCATCAGCTTTCTGTTATTTTTTGTTGTATATGAATCATGTGTTCACAGTCATACATAAGTGCTGTGCAAACACAGCTTCAGGCCATTCCTCCTGCCAAGTAGATTGCTGCCTCTGTGTCCCTTCTTCAGGGAAATTCTGTATTCACTAAAGTTATTCAGTAAGTCTTACAGTATACAAAATACATATGGCCTCTAAGTTTGCAATACACGTGTAGATATTTGTTGCAAAAACCTGTAGATGGTATTACTTAGCACAGGACAAATAATCACTTTAAACAAATGTGATTGCTTGTTCTTTACTCTCATGGTCAAAGAAGTATCACACTTTAATACCTAGTGATACCAGGAGGCCAGGCATTTGTTCCAATATGGCTGCTACTGCTGAAAACATTTGACTCACCTCTTCTGAAAATGCCCATTAAAAATTTTAAAGTAGGCAAAGGACTTGAATAGACATTTTTTCCAAAAGCAATATATAAATGGGACCAGGCGCAGTGGCTCACATCTGTAATCCCAGCATTTCAGGAGGCCAAGATGGGTGGATTACTTGAGCCCAGGAGTTCAAGACCAGCCTGGCCAACATGGCAAAACCACATCTCAACTAAAATTTCATAAAATCTTTTAATAATAAAAAAAGATACACAAGTAGCCAACAAGCACCTGAAAACATGCTTAACATCATTAATCATTAGGGAAATGCAAGTCAAAAACCACAAAATAACCACTTCACACTCAGTAGGATGGCCATATTTTTTAATTTTTTTTGTGACAGAGTCTTACTCTGTTGCCCAGACTGATGTGCAGTGGCATGATCTTGGCTCACTGCAGCCTCCGCCTCCTGCATTAAAGCAATTCTCCTGCCTCAGCCTTCTGAGTAGCTAGGATTACAGGCATGCACCACCATGCCCAGCTAATTTTTGTATTTTTTGCAGAGACAAGGTTTCACCATGTTGGTCAGGCTGTTCTCGAACTCCTGACCTTGTGATCCGCCCACCTTGGCCTCTCAAAGTACTGGGATTACAGGTATGAGCCACCGTGCTTGGACAAGCCATATTTTTTTAAATGAAAAATAACAAGTGTTCGTAAAGATATGGAGAAATTAGAACTCTCATACATTGCTGGTGGAATATAAAATGGCATAGCTTCTGTGAAAAACAATTTGGTGGTTCTTTAAAAAGGTAAACATAGACTTAACCATATGCCCCAGCAATTTCACTCTTAGGCATATGCACAAAAGTATTGAGAACAGGTTCTCAAACAAAGGCTTGTAAATGAGTGTTCATATCAGAATTATTCACAATAACCAAAAGACATTTGACGCAACCATATGCCCTCCAACAGATGAATGGATAAACAAAATGTGGTACGTACATACAATGAAATGTTGATTTAAAAAGGATTGCTACATGCTACAAAATTAATGTTCCTTGAAACTATTCTGCTAAGAAGTCAGTCATAAAGTATCACATATTATATAGTTCTGTTTATATGAAATATCTAGAATAGGCAAATCTGTAAAAAGTAGATTAGTGACTGCTTAGGGCTGGGTGGGGGGAAGAAGGTGTAGTGAAAAGTAGGGACATAATGGCTAAAGGATGTAGGGTTTGTTTCTATGGTGAGGAAAATATTTTTAAATTGCCTGTAATAATGGTTGCATATATCTGTGCCTATACTAAAAATCATTGAATTTTACACTTTAAATGGGTGGATTATATGGTATATGAATTAATTTTCAATAAATCTCTTTTATTTTTAAAAAATAGTTGTAAACCATATTTATAAAAAGTATTAACTCATTACTTTATGGTCCTACCTAATATTTTTAAGTAACTTACTATCCAGCGTGTTAACTTACTTATTTTAGAAGTTTGGTCCCAAATGACATTTAGCTATTTTTAGAAATCTACTGTGAAGTGGTAAATATTTGCCAACAATGATAATATTCACAATACAGGTAAAAGGTGATGAGAGAACTGCTCAAAAAAGAGCTTCCAAAATTTTTATTTGTATCTGTGAAATAAATGGGTCATCTCCTCACATGACTTCAGAAGGGGAACTCTCATTGGGAGCTAAAAATTCTAGTGTGTTTTAAAAAATTAGTCACACTTTATCATATATCTATGTATACATTGGTATACACATATAATTGGTATATACATCTACATTTACACATATAATTTGGTGTATGTGTGTGTGTGTGTGGCCAATCTTTGATTTGTAGCAGGACAAGTAGAAAGAAATGGAAGTTTAGATTTTTTTTCTACTCTTTCAATGAATGTTTATTGGGCATTTAATAAAGGTTATCAAAATCACAAGACACATTTGTCAGGAAAACCCCTTATCCAATTAAACAGAGGTAGTGCAGATTTTTGGTAAACTCCAGACCAGAGTTAGAGGCCAAATAATTCATTTGTGCTTAAGAGTGGAGAAAACTTTGTAGGATAGTCGATAAAGGTGTTCCCCTAGAGAAATTCCCTGGCAAATATTTTTAAAGCTTCTAAATGGCATTTGACCAGCGGAATATCCAAAGTGTGGTATAACTAATTATCTTGGCAAGAACTTATATACAGTTGCTATTTATCTACAAAGAGGAACCCATCTTCAGTTCTTCCCATAGTTTCAAGCCCTCCAACAGTAAGTACCCAATAATTTTTATTAAGATGGTTCCTGTTAGCCCTATTGACTGATGACAACTGCATAACCATACAACAGGAGAGGGTGTTATAGGTATTGGTGGCTTCTTTGAAATACTGTCCACTGTACTAATGAGCTATGGGTAAAAAGAGGCACTCATATATTTGAATGGAATTGTTTTAGGTTTTTGTCATTTTTCCTTCTGCTAAAAATGTACTAAGTAAGTAAAGTCATAATAACTAGCTAACTAATTGCCTCCCCCACTGATGTCCAACTTCTATAGCAACTGGGTTTGAGTGGAAACTTATCCAGAAATGATTTTTGTGAACTTAAGTGAAACTCTAATGATACAACCACATAAGAGAAAAACTGCGGCCGTCATATAAAAAAAGTTAACGCAGAGCAGATTGATATCTAACAGAGGACTTTTCAACCCTGCAGGCAATGGTGTTTTCAAAAGTTTGCAGGCTGACCATTCTAGCTGGTATTGTTTGAACGTTCAGATGTGCCCCAGAATGATAGATAATATTTTTTTTCTAACCTTGAAATAGACACTCAATGGAAATGGGAAATAATGAGATTTGCCTGTACATTTCTACTAATATATCAGTTCTCACTAATGATTGATATATCCAAGATTTCATTTCTTAGTCAACCTGAATCCCTAATAATCCATCTTCCAAAACTATTAATTTTATTGGTGATAGTTCAGCATTTATTATTGTTTTGGAAAAAAATTGTTATTTATTTATAGAGTTAAAAACTACTTGGATTCCTAATTCTGGGTAGCTACTGGTCACTCACATTGCCTTTCTATGTTTATGTGTACATTTATAAAATAGGTATAAAATACACAAAACTATACCCAGAGGATTATGGGAACCAACATTTGTTGCAAACATATCACATGCCAGACATTGTACTTGGTATTTTACAGACATGATCCCATTTTAATCCTCAAAATAATTTTGCACAGTCAATAAAATTCCCATATTACAGACAAGAAAATAGGAATTCAGAGAGTCACTCGACCTGTGACCTTTGGCAAATGATAATACAAGGATTCAAACCTAAGTGGAAAGCTAAGCTCTGTATAATGTTTAAGGTCCTTATAATTTTTAAGGTCTTGCATGCACACCCCCTCCCTACACCTTACATCTCAGATCTCAGTTTCTATTATCTCCTCTCCTTCACTCTTCTCCAACCCTGCAAGCCTCCACTCACCTCAGGGCCTTTGCATTGGCTGTTCCTTCAGCCTGAAACCCTCTTCCCCCCACATCTAAATGGCTTATTTCCTCACTTTCTCAGGTCTTCGCTCCAATGTCACCTCCTTAGTAAGACTTCTGATCATCCTATTTAAAACCACAACCTACAACCCACTCCCACTCACAATCATTCTCACCCCAATTTGTTTTCTTTTCCTGTAAGCATTTATCGCCTTCTAATGCCATTTTTATTGTCTGCTACTCTCGCTAGAATGTTTGCCTCCCCCACTGATGTCCAACTTCTATAGCAACTGGGTTTGAGTGGAAACCCAGACATCAATTTTGTCTGTTTTGTTCTTGATGTTTCTTAGCTACTAGAACTGTGCCTAGCACATATTATGGGGCCATTAAGGGTTGACTGAATAAATGAATGACTCAATTGACTCCAAAGCTTGTGCTCTTTCCTCAATGGCCCCAGTAATGAGCTTCTAGAGATTTTCATTTTAAACATTATTAATCTGAATCTCTCCTGCTCTCTGACCTTC